ATATAAATAATAAAAAAAAGTCAGAATAACTTGACCACCTTGGATTTTTGAAATAAAATGATAATAATGAATAATAATAATGATATAATGAAATGATAATAATAATAAATAAAATATATGAATTAAATAAAATGAATGATAATAGATAATAATAAAATGGAATAATAAGATGAATAATGATAATAATAATAAATAAGGATGATAATAATATAAAATGATGAATTAATAATAGATAATATGATAATAATGATAATAATAATAGATAATAAAGATAATAATGATGATGTAATAATAATAATGATATAATGAAAATAAAATATCCTTAAATGCGTAATTTCCGTAACTAACACCCAATATTTTAGCTTTGCAATTATTGAAATAAGTACGACGTGAAAATTGATTGGGGGGGAAATACTTTGGATTTCCAACATGTTTTCTCGTCCAAATAAGCCTTGTTTTGGGCCTGTGGTTTATGATGATACAGGTTTCCTCCACGAAGCTGGCCTGTGGGTGTCCATGGATTAACCCGTCCGCACATGCTTGTGGGACCCGTCCGCTTACAACGCTCTTGGATCCCCCTTATACATCCTCAACAGTCCATCCGTTAAGGGGGTTGATCAATTAAACGTTTCCCAATCTTTTTTTAATTCCCAACAAACTGAGAAGCTTTAGCTCAAAAGTTACTTGAACTTCTCAACATTGGATTATTATTATCATTAGCATTATCATCATCATTATTATTATCATTATTATTATTATCATCATTATTATCATGATCATTATCATTATTATTATTATTATTATCATTAGCATTATCATCATTAGCATTATCATTATTATTATCATCATTATTATTATTATTATCATCATTATTATTATTATTATCATCATTATTATTATTATTATCATTAGCATTATCATTATTATTATCATCATTATTATCATTTATATCATCATCATCATCATCATCATTATTATCATTATTATTCTATCACTGTAGAATTCAACAGGTCTGTCTGTTTAACTTGGTTCTGTGATTTTTGTAAACGGGCCAAACTTCAGTCAGCAGAACAACTGAGATAATCCGTCCACAATAATCCGTCCTACAGCACTGTGCACCATGTTTCAAAGAAGCGTTTAGGAGTGTTTGCTAACTGCAAACAGCAGAGTGAAGTCACAGAAACACACGGTTGGGGAAAACATGCAACATAGTGAAGATGTTCAACCCTTAAAATGTTTAATTGTGTTTGTATGGAAGCAGAGAAGTACAGTCAGAAGAGGCAAAAGCAAATCCTGTCTCACATAAAAGTTCACCTGGAAAACCTGCCATCGATGTGCCATAAGACTTATTTCCCACAGCACGCATGCACACAGGAGGATGAGCGCTTCCTCTACAGTCCTGCTAACAACAACAAAGTGAGAGGAATGCACAGCTGTGTGTGTGTGTGACCGTATTTAGATGTGTACATTTTTCTTCCATACAACAGTGCAGCCTGGGAGCAGCTGTTATATTTACATGTAATGAGCAGACATGCAGGACGAGGCATGCTTTCACAGACAAAGAGGAATGGCACCTAAAGGTCACTTTTCTCTGGGCTCAGCAGAAAACAATCACAGGAACAAGCTATATGTGTGTCTGCACACAAGTGTAGTGTGAGCAGCACATTTGCAAAGTAGCTGCAGCACCGGTGCTCCATCTCTGTCAAACAGGAGGCATTCAGGCACAGAATGAAGCTGTTTTCTCCCACACCTCCGTGTGTAACGACCATTATGGGAGGGAAAACAACAGAAAGATCATCTCCTGGTCGTGTTTTAGGCTGGACACTGAGGATGAGCTTTGTCACACAGCAGGTCCAATTACTAAAGTACACGCAAGTACAAGAGGCACATTTACTGCAGCAAAATTCTTATTTTCAGCTCAAATCTGCCAATGATTAATTATTTCATCATTAACTGTTCCTGACTCGTCATGTCTCCATGTTAGGGTGTAATTATTGAGGTATGTGGTTCTTTTATTTCTCTGCTTTTTATCCAATATTCAGACACCAGCGGATGCATCGGTGAGCAGCTGGAGGTTAGGAGGTTAGTATCTAGCCCAATTATACTTAGACTGGTGCAGCCAAGGATCAAACCACCAGCCACGACCTCCTCTACCTCCTGGGGTACAACCAGAAGTAATTCATAAAGTTAATGCTGTTCCCACGTCTTAAACTCTCACTGTGGAGGAGCTCATGGTGCTGAGCTCCAGGCGTGTAAAAGACTGGAACCAACACAATGAAGTATCAGATTTTAGCCTCATTAGTCCGCTCTGTCTTCACTGCGATACTGTAAAGCAGTATTTTTAGAGCAAAGTGACGATTGTGGCACATGAAAATCACTGTGCTGAGCAGGGTGACATCACATTTGTGTCCACAAGAAGAACCTAATCAAGCATTTGTACGACTGCAATGAGAGACAGAGAAAGACCGTAAAAGTATCCATGTATCATGACGTTTTATCTCAGTTCAGTTGTGCTGTTCTCGTGCCAAATCAATCGCAAATGTCTCAAGGTGATTTTTATATTGTAAGATAAAAACCCTCCAATGTTACAGAGAAAACCCCAACAATCAGGTGACCTCCTGTGATCAAGCAGTGTCACAATGGTGGGAAGGAGAAACTCCTCAGGAAGAAGTGAAGCAGTGAAAGAAACATAGTGAGTGAAGAAACACCCAGTGCATCATGGAAATCCCCGGCAGCCTACGTCTATTGCAGCATAACTAAGGGAGGATTCAGGGTCACCTGGTCCAGCCCTAACTATATGCTTTAGCAAAAAGGAAAGTTTGAAGCCTAATCTTGAAAGTAGAGATAGTGTCTGTCTCCCGAATCCAAACTGGAAGCTGGTTCCACAGAAGAGGGGCCTGAAAACTGAAGGCTCTGCCTCCCATTCTACTTTTAAATACTCTAGGAACAACAAGTAGGCCTGCAGAGTAAGAGCGAAGTGCTCTAATAGGGTGATATGGTACAAGGTCATTAAGATAAGATGGGGCCTGATTATTTAACACCTTGTATGTGAGGAGCAGGATTTTGAATTGTGGATTTAACAGGAAGCCAAAACAGGAGAAATCTGCTCTCTCTTTCTAGTCCCTGTCAGGACTCGTGCTGCATGCCACCAGTTCTCTAAGTAAACATATTTCTAAAGGTGCCACTGACATGAGATTATGACGTCAGTAACAACACTTTCAATCCACATGTAACGAAAAGAAACCATAGATGTAAATAAATAATGTGTAAGAATGAGAAGTGACACAGGGAAAATGTATTGAACACACCGACATTTATTCTGTATGGAGAAACCAGTCCCAGCTCAGGTGTGACCCACTCACCACACAGTCCCAGCGTGGGATCCTTCTATGAGCTGTAGTTCTTCCCACAGATTCAGGTCAGGTGACTGTCTGAGTCGCAGCTTTACGTTCTGTCTCTGAAAGTTACAAACTGGAATCAACGCCTCGTTGAAACCTTGTTGGTATGGTGTTTTAGGCTGAGGCCTTTGACCAAACATGGTGTGTATCACAGCATTCAATTTGGGTTTATCTGACCAAACTATATTCCCCCATATTGTCGTTTTACCAAGATTATGTGACCAGGATGCAGGTTCAGATAAGAAGCTGTATACTTGCACTATATGCAGACCTCCTTTTTTGGGCTGGTCCATTAGGGGTCGCCTCTGCAGATCATCTGCCTCTACCTCACCCTCTCCTCCACTACAGCAATGAACCTTATGTGTGGTGTTCCGCTTTTCTTCACTAAATGCTAAATTAAAAGCCCTCACTGAGGTAATTTTGAGAAAGGAAAAAAACCCCAAAACAAAACAGGGGAGTGGGGGTGAAATGAGACGCAACAGAGACACAGACAGTGTTGTTCTGCTGTATCTATGGGAGACCAGAGGAGAGCAACATACAGCCAGAGGAAAACAGAGCAAAGTAAACACAAGAGAGCTAAATGAAAGCCAAATGTGTGTGTGTGGGGGGGGGGAGACTCTGGGGGATGGGACTGTCTTGGTGAGTTATGGAGTGGGTGTGAGCTGGGTGGGGTCACTGGGAACTCTACAACATGAGAGACCCTGAACATGCAGCCTGTGGCAGGTCCTGTCTCAGGCATGTTCACCTCATGTACAGTTGTGGTCAGAAGTTTACACACAGTCATCATAAACATGAATGCAAGTTAACTCTGGGCTTGTCATATTTCTTTGTTCCAGGGTGGACAATGGTACAGCACACAGACTCAAGAAGTAGGAGCACAAGTTTGAATTCAACACAGTCAACAGTGTATATGCAGGCTCACATATAGCTACACAAACATGTCTTGTAACTTGACGAGACAAAGGCCTATTAACTTCTCATTAGTGTTCATGATTTGCAACAGCTGGCAGTTTGACAGCAGTCATTGATGGACCAATACTCAGAACAACGGGTCCAAGGAGCAGGATGTAAGAAGCAAAGATTTACATAAGTTAGGAGGATCTCTTGTAGCCACGTGTAAACAACTGCAGATTCATCAGTTCAAACAATTATATGTACACACAGGCTACTGAGACGCTTCTGAAAGGAGACCCAAACTGACTGAACAGTTAAACCTACGATTATAGAATAAAATAACCAGTTTTATGCATTTATGTGCCTTTAACATAATAGAGGCATTGCTGGCTTTTTGTTTCACTGCCAACAGGGAAACAGGCCAAATAGGTCAACAGCATGGCATGTAATGAATATGCAACATTTTCTTGTTATTGTAAAGTTTATTACAACAACGTGACATTGTGTCCTTGTGTATAATTGGATGTGTGTCAGTAACTGGGCTGTGACCCATAAATAAATGGGATTTCTGTTAAGTGTTGGTTCAAATCCAAATGATGTAACAGGGAGAGGGTACCTGTTGTGGACCTGGAGTTTACACCCCCAGGCTGAAAGCAAGACGAATGTGGAGCTTACAAAGACACTCTTCACATTTATCATCAGACAATGCAAAGAAGAAATTACAAAAGAGAAACATCAAATGAAACTTTGGGATCTATGAGATCATAAAATCAGAAAGAGCGGAGGCAGGAAATGAGCTTTTTTACTCAGCAGCTCTCTAACACAAAAACAGGCATGTATTTAAGCCTTGAATGGAGCTAACACTTGAGCTATGGCTATCAGACTGCAGGATCCTCCTACAGCTGTTACTACTACCAGCAATTCATATTCTATTAATACTCTCACACACAATTTTCCTTTACGGCTGGGTCGACTTCTGCTCATCACGCTGCCTTTGTTCTCTACATCTAATAATCTGACAGCTCACAGAACGATCTGGCGTCTGTGGAGGTCTCCACACCACAGCTTCAGTGAATAATTACACACCTCCATGGATCTGGGGTGACCGTGGCTCAGGGGGTTGGGAAGCGTATCTGTAACCGGAAGGTCGCCGGTTCGATCCCCGGGCTCTCTGTCCTGGTCGTCGTTAGGCAAGACACTTTACCCTACCGCCTACTGGTGTTGGCCAGAGGGGCCGATGGCGCGATATGGCAGCCTCGCTTCTGTCAGTCTGCCCCAGGGCAGCTGTGGCTACAACCGTAGCTTGCCTCCACCAGTGTGTGAATGTGAGAGTGAATGAATAGTGGCATTGTAAAGCGCTTTGGGTGCCTTGAAAAGCGCTATATAAATCCAATCCATTATTATTATCTGCAAACTTCATCCAAACTCTTGCTAGTGACCTCGAAGAAACTGATGCACATTTTACTGTCATACTGAAGATGAAACATAGAGATGACAGCAGCTTATGTATAGATGTGCATTTCAGTATATTAGCAGTAGGGCTGCACGATTTTGCATAAAATGAGAATCACGATTTTTTGGCTTAGAATTGAGATCACGATTCTCTCACGATTTTCTTTTCCAGTATAAATATTTATTGCACTTATTAACTGCACATCAACTTCGTAACAGTTGAGACTGAACATGTTCTGCCCCTCGTTTGTGGCTTGGTTGGGTTTCTTTGGCTGGCGAATTTCTCAGGTTTCCCAATAGTGGGCAGTATTACCCCTTCAGTTTGTGGCTTCTTCTTTGGTTATTTGGTGTGCACTACACTGCCCCCTTTGGTGATGTGTTGTAAGCAGCAGGCAAAGTTCACGCAGGCAGTGTGAGAAAATGCATGGAGCAGAAAACAAGCTGCACAACTTTAAGCCCAGTTTACATCGTTGGGGAGTTTGTTGAGCCATAATCTGTAAGTAAGCAATGTCTAACTTCATTTTCTGTAAGATTTGTTACTTTCATGTTACTTAAAAGGTTATTTGAACGTATAAGGAAAGATGTTAATGATGAATGTAAAGCATAAGGAAAGCTATGTTGCTAACTTCTGTTTTGTTTACAAAATATGTTGATACTGATGCTTACGTATTATTTTACTGTATGTTCACAGTCTTACAAATTAAAAGAGGAAAAAACGGTCTTCAGTTAAAGACACAAAGACAAAGCGATGTGTCCTGTCGTTCCTGGAACCATCTCCTCTTATGTTAAGCTCGCTGCATAGGGTGAATAGCCATACATTCACCTGAGAGGGATGTAAGATTTGTTGAAGTTCATAATGGAGTAAAAAGTTATGGTTAAATAGACCTCGCAAGTACGTAGTGAGGGCCTAGCATGAGACCCATAGCAATAAGAGTAAATAAGCAATATAGTAAAAGTGCAAAATCCAACAAAGAGCTGTCTCACTTGTTGCTTGCTGCAAAGGCGTTCCTGTTACTACTGCTTGTCGACTCTGATTCCCTCAGTACAACAAATGTCTCACGTTTTGTTGTTGCAGCAAAATGTTGTCCTGCTTGAAATTCCGTCTCCACCGTTGCTCGACGCTGCGTGTACAGAGCAGGTAGTGCAACAATAGAAAAATAGTTGCGGGACGGCACTGTGTAGCGTTTGTCTAGGGTGTTGATCGTTTTCCTAAATCCCTCGTTTTGCACAGTGTTGATGGAGCCATATCTTTGGTCAGGTGATAAGTGATAGCCTCCGTAATTTCTTTGTGCCTGCGGGAGTTCGACGTGTATAGGGAAGCGCTGTATAAGGTTCCCGTTATTGATGTTTGGGTGGTTGACCGGGACGGATTTTCTCCTGTCACTTTCTCGTCATCCCTGACGTGCTCTCCGTTGTTTTTTCCCTGCTAATTTTAGCATCACACGGCACAGCTTCTGTATCACGTGGTATAAGGCTCATCTCAGAGGCACCTGTATCGTGAGTTAAATCTCGTTTCAGGTGATACACATTATATTAAAGGGGCATCACATTCCCTTTTAGTTTTTCCTGCTAATTTAGCATGGCACTATATCACGTGGTATAAGGCTCCGCCCTTGTCATTTGTTGAGCAGGAAGAGTGAGCGCTTGTTTTCATGCAGATTACGTCCCGGATCAAAATGCGGTACAATCGTCGTCGTTCTTTTTTTTTTTTTTTAATCGTTGTCATTTGGAAATGAGATCGCACATAAGTATGAATCGAGATCGCGATTTTCTAACGATTAATCGTGCAGCCCTAATTAGCAGTACAATAGGTTGGAGGACACATGGACACCCACAGAGACAGTGAGACTAGCAGATCCTCCCATATCACAGCAGCTCTGCAAACAGACTTACACAAACACATGTATGAACCACACAAATACACAATCAGTCCAGTCCTGTAAACTCAGAGTGAGCTTCAAAAGAAACCAAAAACCCACACTGAGAAAAGCCCAGACAGAGAGATGAATGACAGTAATTAATAGTGAATTAATACTGATGAGTGCAACAGCCCCTCTGTGTGTCTGTGTGCACACTTATACATCCTTGTGAGGACCAAAAATTCAACTGTTACTATACTTGTGGGGACCAACAGTCCCTTATGGGGTCCAAATGCCCGTCAAACAGCTTTTGAAGGCATGTTTGAGGCTGAAATTGTGGTTTTAGTAGCAGGGTCACAGTTAGGTTATGGTTAGGGTTCAGGTAAGCAGCTAGGGAAGGCATTATGTCAATTACATGTCCTCACTGAGATATAAAAGCCAAGTGTGCGTGCGGATAATTATGCAACAACAAAGCGATCTGCTGGGTCCACTGGCCTGCTCATCTATGCTGTCTCTGTCTAGCAGCAGCTGCTGGGGCTGAAAATTCAGGCAGGACCCACGTGAGGTTTTAAAGGCGAGTCAAAGCCACACACTGGAGAACAAAGCGCTTGGAAGCAAAGGACTCGGTGTGAGTGGTGAGGGTTACTCAGACCAGGGCTCAGATTGGTGAGGTTTGCTGACAGGCCGAGTGGCTGTTTGAGAGCCTGCAGATCTGACTGACCTGAGGCGCCAACCAGAGGGCAGCGGGTCAATCAGGTATGAGTCTGTGCTATATTTCAATGTTGTTGCTATGGCAATAGCAACGGTGTGATAAATCTGTGAGAAACGGGAGGAGCAGTAAGAGAGGCAGAAAAAAGTGTGCGTGTCTTTGAACTCTTATCTACAATGTGTGTGCCAGATGGCACCGTGCACTCTATTACATAACCAAAACAGTGAATCACATTTGTACGCACACAGAGAAAAGAGCACAGTCGGAAAATAAATGACATCAGTGCCAAACATTTCCGAAGCAAATCCTCCAATAAGTGACAAAGCCAAAAACACGAGCAGACCCACAGGATCATCTCCTCATACAGTGGTGCGACATCGAGACAGCGGCATAAACACCACGGTAACCACACTGCCACCACACCAAAGTGTGTGTGTGACGCAAGCCGCAGAGCAGACCGAGCCTCACGTGATCACTCACACACACTTTGAAGGCCACTTACAGACAGATGTAGTTTGACTAAGGTGAAACTTAGTCCAAGCCCATCTCTGTGGCTCTGCCATTGGCTGAGGATGTTGGGCTCAGTCCTCTCCTAACCCTGCTGACTTTATCCAGTGATGACCTGCTGCCTGTGCTCGTGCTACTGGAGCCCTTGTAGAGTGTGAAGCAGCTGGGATGAGGATTAGCACTTGCAAGTCTGAGGCGGGGTTCTCGGTTACCTAGACTCCTCCCCAAGCAGACTTCAGGTAACCATCAAATAACACAACAACAAATTGCTCGCCATATCATTCTGCTTATCTGAATTTGAGTTGCGAGGGCAGCACCCTAAACAAGGAAACCTACACCCTCCCTCTTGCCAGCCACCTCCAACAGCTTATTCCGGGGAACGCCGCAGCGTTCTCTCATCTCAGGGCCTCCTCCTGCTCCAGTAGGCGACTGCCTCGGCTGGCTCCTTTCGATGTGGAGTAGTGGCTCCACTTATATCTGCGATCTCATTCTTTCGCCTTTCAACAATTAACAATAACAGACAAAAAGATCAGAACAGCAACTACAGTGCTCCATCTGATGGCAAATGACTGCATAACATTTAGGACAACAATTTACCTGGTGCTGATTTTAACTGTAAACCAATTAGATTAAAGGACTAGTAAGTCTGGTACAAACGACTAACAAGACTAGTCCTCCAGTTAACTAGTCAGGCACATCAGGCACTAGTCCCATCTGTACCTCAATGACTGCATGGTGTCCAGGCTCTGTTGCTGCAAAACAACCCAAATCATCCCTCACCATATTCTCCACAGAAACCAAGATTGGGGCTGCAGCCGCAGTGATGCGGACGCTGCACCGGTCCGTCGTGGTGAAGAGGGAGCTGAGTGTAAAAGCGAAGCTCTCAATTTACCGGTCGATCTACGTCCCTACCCTCACCTATGGCCACGAGCTGTGGGTAGTGATACGGATACAAGCGGCAGAAATGAGCTTCCTCCGAAGGGTGGCTGGCCTCTCCCTTAGAGATAGGGTGAGAAGTTCGGCCATCCGGGAGGGGCTCAGAGTAGAGCAGCTGCTGCTCCACATCGAAAGGAGCCAGCTGAGGTGGTTCGGGCATCTGACAAGGATGCCCCCTGGGCGCCTCCTGGGTGAGGTGTTCCAGGCACGTCCCACCGGGAGGAGGCCCCGGGGCAGACCCAGGACACGCTGGAGAGATTATATCTCTCGGCTGGCCTGGGAACGCCTTGGTGTTCCCCCGGATAAGTTGGAGGAGGTGGCTGGGGAGAGGGAGGGCTGGGCTTCTCTGCTTAGGCTGCTGCCCCCGCGACCCGGCCTCGGATAAAGCGGATGAAGATGGATGGTTTCTGCTGAACAAAGCACTGGGAATCATGGCCAAGCATCTCCAATTTGACCTTGTCTGGCCAAAAGACATTGTTCCAGGACTCCTGTGGATTTTTCAGACACAGCTTTGCAAACCTACGCTGTGCTGCCATGTTCTTCTTTTTTTAAGTGTACTGTCATGAACATTTATCATGGTCACGGAGCCAGAGATCCAGGTCTATGT